CACAATACATCCCGACTGATCCACCTTAGAAGGGACGTTTTCTCGGCATACAATAGCATGGCCCTCTGTTCTCAAGACATGATGGAAGTAGATGTCTTCATTTGAGGATGTATCACAGAGAAAAATGTTAAGGATTCCATCTACATATTCATCCACTACCCCCACTAATGGCTTCAAACCACACAACTTCTGGAACTGCAAAATAGCTCTGGATGTCCAGTGTTCCTGAAATAGAATCAAGACATGAGATTTAGATGATAAATTCAAACATGAATTATAGTAACCATACACAAAAATAAATTCCTAATGAACTAGAGATTTTAGTTGAAAAACAAAACCGTAACAGTACTAGAATAACACACTTCAGGATAGTTATGATTGGGAATGAGAAAAGTAAGAAAAAAGGAAAAATTATGAAAAATGTGACTGTAGAAAATCTTTTATCATTTATGTGGGGAAAAACTTCCGTTTTCAGAAATGGTTAAATTACTGGACTAACTCTCCCAGAGAAACAACTGAAATCTCTAAAGTATTTTTAAAATATGTCCAAAAGTATCCAAGAACTATCAAGAGTAACATTATTATCAGGACAAAATTAAAGGGAAAGTGGGAACTATTTTACCTTAAAAAGGAAAAGAAATAAACTAGCCTTCACATGGATTTGCAGTTCAATTTTCACATCACCTGGACAGTACACAAATCCTCAAGTTGTTCATCTAAATTAAGGTGATTCCAGACACCTGGTAGGAACAATGCAGATCTCTCTAGAGGTAGGCAGTCTCAGCCCATATTATTCAAACATTCTTACAAATAATTTTTCAAAGACAATGAAAAGTATGCAGGCAAAGATAAAAGGCACACAAAGAAACAACAAATCACAAGTAAGAACAAGGAGGAACAACATAAACCTTCAAAAACTTTAGATATTTGATTTCCCAGACAATTATAAACAACTAGACTTACTACACTTCAAGCAAAAACAAAAAAGATTTGAAAGCTTTTGCAAGTATCAACAATCTATAAAAATTTATCTAGCAAAATTACAGGTCAAAGAGAACTTTTAGAAAGTAACAACACAATAACCAAAACTTAAAGCCCAATAGGTTGATTCAGTAGCAGATTTGGTAGAATTAAAGAGTAAATCAGTAAAGTGGAAGATAATTTGGGAAAAAAATACCCAGAATGCAACATGGAAAGACAGAAATATGTAAAATACAGAAGAGAGGTTAAAAAATACAGAAGATAAATTGAGAAAGATTAACATACGTTCAATTGTGGTCCTGGAAAAACAGACGTAAAAACAGAGACAGATGGAATATAAATATGAATAATGGGAAAGACAATAAATAACTGAAGAGATAATGGCTGGGAATTTGCCAGAGTTAATAAAAAGTAACAAAGCACGGATAAAATGGAATTCAATGAACCACAAAGTAGGATAAATAAGAATAAATTCACACATAAAGATACTAACACTGAAACTACAAGCAACCAACAGGAAATGTTACAAAGAGCTACAGACAAAAAGGACACTGCCTTCAAAAGAACATCCATCAGACCGACTACTGACCTCTCCAATAAGGTAAGGGAGACCAGAAGCCACTGTGATGAGATCTTCAATTCACTAAATGTATTACCTGCCAACCTAAAATTCTACACCTAGTGAATGTATCTTCCAAAATTAAGTGCAAAGTTACGTTTCCAGGTACACATAACTAAGTTTGCCATCAGCAAACCCTCACAAAATGAAATCTTAAAGGATACAGTTTAAATACAAGCAAAATGTTCCCGTAGGGTTTGAGTGGTGAGAACAAAGAGCCAAGAAACTGAGAAATACATGACTAAATCTAAATGCACGTTATTTTATGTGGTCAATTTGTTGAGGGGTTAAAAACAATAACAATAATTATACAACAAAAACAGATCAGCAGAGGAGGTTAAAGAAGAAAGTGTTCTAATGTTCTTGCATCTTTACATACAGATGTGTTTATGTCCTAGAGGAATCCCTAAAATAATATAGTGTGTTACTTAATGGAATTATTTAAAAACTTCCAAATGATGCATGCAGGGTGAGAAAAAGAAAGAATAGGTAAGCCAGTGATTTTTCACCAGGGCCACTAGGTTCTCCTAGCACCAGCAGAGTTTAGTAATCAACTAAGGATTTGGGCAGATTGCATGCACTGATTTTGGAATACCCATTCTGTGGCTCCCTCCCTTCAAGCGTTTCTCCCTTAACTCTCAGCTTCAGCCAGTCCCAAATGATGTCTTCTAACTCTTCAAGCCAGCAAGGCTATGGACTGGGGAGTGACCCCAGGATAGAAGCTGAAAATTTCCTGATCTTACCTACTGCAGCTTGACCTCCAAGGATAGATTTCTGCTTCTCTGCCTGCTTTGGATTTTGTCTATGGGAGTAGTCATCCCACCATGCTACTCTATTGCTACTCTGCCATTACCAAATGCATTTACTATTTTTGAAACCAGGAAAAAGATGCAGAAATACAGTGAGAGTCATTCACTTAGTTATAAACATTTACTAAGCACCTACCATAAAACAACCATTCATCTAAGCATCAGAGGTACAGTGGTAAAGAGACAATGCCCCCCATCTCAGGAACTTACCCTGTGTATATGAACAAATAATTAAGATCATACCCGACGGTATTATAAAGATAAAGTGACAACGAAGTGGAAATGTGTACTTTCAATTGGCACCATGGTCAAGGAAGTCCTTCTTGGGGAAATAACATCTGAGCTTAAATCTGAATGACAAAAAGGAACCACCCATGAGAGTTCTTTGAACAAGCTATTCCAATGATCAGAACCGGCAAAAGCCCTAAGGTCAGAAGAATTTCAAGAAGGAAATAAGAAAACAAAAAGAGAAACAAAAATGGAAGCCATCTGAATAATATGAGAATAATGACCACTACCTACAAGTGGGTCACAAATTTAGCCCTGAGCTTCCTGGTAGTAATAAAGAGAAGCCTGGTCAAGGCTAACATGCACCCTAGAAAAACAATCCTGAATACTGACTTGCACAAAAATCGTAACTGCATACATTATTCACAATAACATCAAAACAGATTGAATGTCTAACAATAAAGGGACAGTTAACCTATGATAGACACTTACCTAAGAGATTACTGTGAATCTATGAAAATTGAGAACTATGGCAACACATAAATTTATGCTATAATAATGCTGAGTGAAGAATATGATTACTATTTTATGTAACCCTGGAAACCCTACAAAAACCCTGACCCCCCCAATATCCAATAAACTAAATTGAAAGGAACACACATCAAATTTCTAAACTGAATGTGTCTGAATGGTAGAATAACAGGTCATGTTTTCTTCTTTTTCTTTCCTTTTACTGTGTTTTCCAGATAAAAAAAAAGTTTTAAGGAATAATGCATGTACATGTAAGCAAATGATAAGGTAAACAAATGTGGTGTAATAAGTGTGTATGCCACATGTATTTAAGAGTTCTGAGGGAAAAACACAAAGTCAGGTGCACGATAATCTTAATTACGTAAACAAATGTATCTCTGTGGATGAAGACGCCTCCTGCTTCATCCCACTCATCTCGCGCAACTACATTACTAGAGAATTCTTCAAAAAAAACCCCACATAACTGAGTACAGCAGTTCCTGAGGTACGCCCTTCAGTTGCTCCCCCATATCTACAGGACAACGCGTAGACTCCTGAACATGGATACGGATCCCCACCACAGGGCCCTATTTCTCTGGCATAGCTTGCCGTCCATCAACTCCAGCTCACGTGCCGCCACAGAGGCAGAGCCACTTAACATTTCTCAAGTTCGAGATGTTTTATGTTACATTTCCCATTGTCTGGAATGTTCTTCCTTTTGTGTCCAGTAATAGTCCTACTCTTCCTTCAAAGTTCCACTCTACCACAGGGTCATCCCTGACCAGACTCAACAGAGATGTAAGCACAGTCCTCTCTTTGCACATCTGGCACATGCTTTTTTTTTTTTTTTTTAACGTTTATTTATTATTGACAGACAAAGACAGAGCATGAGCATGGGAGGGGCAGACAGAGGAGGAGACAGAATCTGAAGCAGGCTCCAGGCTCCGAGCTGAGCCCAACGTGAGGCTCAAACTCACAAACTGCTAGATCATGACCTAAGCCGAAGCTGGACACTTAGGCGACTGAGCCACCCAGGCACCCCTGGCACACACTATTAAATATCCCTACAGCGAATGTGACACAGCACAGGACTGACTTCTGGCTCCATGTCCATCTTCCAGACTATCTACAATGATTTCTTTTAGGGCCCATTCCAGGTTTTTTGTATCCTGAGATCCTCAGACTGTTCTCAGCACCAAATGTTTGCTGATTAAATGGGAACAAGCATACCTGTACTGGTCTCACCCAAGCCAAGGAACAAGGAATGGCCTGAGCCGGGAGCTTTGTGTAGCAGCACCTGCAAGAGATGATCACAAACCCCAATATTCCATCATGTTTTAAAACTGCATTTTATGGAATCTCTAATCCACTCTTGATTTTAGCTGTTTACAGCACTTCAGACTATTTACTCATGCATCTTTAAATTAATGCCTTACACTTTAAAGCATTCTAAGTAATAAAAATTTTAAACATCATAGTCCTTGAAACCCATGCAATTAAAATATAGGTAGGAACAAACCAACCTTCATGCTATATAAATGCAATTCTTAGCATCACCCCAAGAATCATTTTCTTAATAAGAGATTGTTTTTTAGAGTTTCATGGTCCATTCAGATTCAGTCATGTGAAAGAAGACCTAAGAGATTATAATCCCAATGTGAAACTAAGGGACCATATGCCAAGTTCATTTGCACTAAAAAAAAAAAAAAAAAAAAAAAAAAAAAAAAAAAAGAGGGATGGAAGAAAGGAAGGCAAGAGAAAAGAGCAATCTTAACCCCATGCAGCTTTAGCATTATGAGCATTATGATTCAAAACTTAGTAATAATTTAACCATATTTGTTAACTCACTTGAGAAACCTTAGGGAGGACTTCTGAACAGTTCCAATATTTCCAAAGTCTGGGTAGAATACTTCAACTTCCTGTTTCCCGAGGACTTGATGGATAATGACCCGATACCACCACTTATCCTCAGAAATCCTGACACAACAGAGATGTCCCGGCTGGATAAAATACTCCGGCATGGCATATCGATCAGAAACCAGCTGATTGGAATAGCAGCGCCTGTAGAATTCCATAAAACAGGGAATTTCAAAGAGGGAGAAAATATCATTTGATGCATCAAGACCAAGAAAGTCTTGGCAAAAAGCAAGGAAAAAAAAATCCTCCTTTTTCTGATTGGTTAATGCTTATTAATACCAACTAATTTTATTTTCCTCTTTCTTTTCCAAATCCCTTCTCTTCATCAATAAACTTCTTCACATGGAAAGTTATACACTCATTTTATCTCATATTCTCTGAACAAAATGCAATCCAACTTTATTCGTCAGCACTTCCTAAAATAGACATTTTAAGACACCAATGGCCCCTTAATTCCCAAATCTAATAGCCTGTCTCGCCAGCTTTCGATATACTTCTTTCTCTGCAACATGACCCTGATCCTATCCTCTTTCAAACTCTATCCTACTTAGTTTCCAAGACACTATTTTCTCCTACTTCTTCTCTGTCAATAATTATTCTTATAGTGGCTCTCTAATTGCCTTTAAAGTTTAGGTTCTCTGGGATCTTACATTTAGGAAGTATAAAATAATAAGAGCTCAGGCTTTGAACCCAGTCACATGAGCTCAAATCGTGACTCCATCATTTACTAGCTGTGTGACTTTATCTTTCTGTGCTTCAGTTTACTTGTTGAGCATGGAGAGGACAATAAAACCTTAGCAAAATAGATGAATGCTAAGCACAGAGTCCAAATACAGTTAAGTACCCATTAACTATTACTATTCTTTCTGTACACCATCTCATCCATTTTCATATCTTTATACCACTACAAATAAAACGATGATTCTCCATCTTGATCTTTAAACTCTGAATCACTTCGGAACTTTAAAACTTTATTTCCAGCTGTACAGAGAAGATGCTAGTTGTTCCCCAATTTTCATTCTCCTAATAGAATCCCGAATTTTAACTGAGTATATAGCCATTCAGACTTCCCAGACTCCTTAGCATCTAGATGTGAATACTAAGTCCTGAGCAATGAGATGTGAGAAAAAGTGTGCATGATTAGGATGGTAAATTTTATGTGTATTTTACCACAATTAAAAAAAGTAAAAGTATAGAAATTCTAGCTCATGTCTTTCAAAGAAAACGGCACATCTCCAACCACCTACCTTCTTCTCATTCTCCTTCCCACTGGCTGAAATGAGGATCTCATGGATGTGATGGCGAGCTACATGCTGGACCATGTAGATGGGGCAACACACTGTCTGGGACAGCAAGACAGAAAACACTTGTGTCCCTAACACCAGGGAGCTACCTTATCCACCTTTACTGCTTACATATGGACTACTATGGGAAGAAGAAATAAATTTTTATCTTTTTTAAGCTACTGTGTCTTAGGCTAAGTTATGTCTCTGTAGCAGTGGCTAAACCTAATCCTAACTATTACTGTCCACTCAACATTGTCAATTCACTACTCCATGGTCACCTTAGACGCACCAGGTGTAAACTTCTAGCCCCGGCTCAAAGCTACTCAATCTCTAAAGTCAACACAGGTTTCATATTCTCCTTTTCTCCCTCATCCTTCTCAAACCCATTCTTGTCACCAAGACCTGACAACTACTTCCCCAAATTTTTTCCAATTTCTTTCAACTCTCACTCTCTTACCAAGACTAGCATATTAATGGATGCTCTCCTGTTCACTCACCCGTCTTCCACACTGCAACGAGAGTTATCTTGCTAAAATACAAACCTGTTGATGCCCCTACCTTCTTAAACCTTCAGAGGCTCCACACTGTCTACAGAATAAGTCAGAATTCCCGCCCATGGTGTCCATACTCCAGCTCTTCCCCAGTATTCCAGTTTCACATTCAGTCACCGTCACCCAACCTCATGCAATGGTGCTTCACTTCCCTATTTGTTGCTCCCAGAACACCACGCTACTCTGTTGTCAACAGTAGCCTTGGTGCCAGCGATTGGATCCACACATACCCACTCACACCTTTTTGACTGGAAAATTCTTGTTTTTTAAGCCTAGTTCAAATATCTCCTTTTGTGAAGCTTTTTCCCACCTTCAACAGGCAGAATTACTGCCTCATGCAGTACCCCACTTATCCGCTCTCTGTATCCCCAGATAATCGTGGTGTTCACAAAGGCAAAGACCATGTCTGTCTTCTCCTCATACTGCTCATGCCCAAATCCCAAGCACACAGCAGATGTGGTATTAGTAACAATAGCAGCCAACAGGTGAGCTAGACTCCATTCTAAGTGCTTGAATCTTCCCAACTCTGTGAGGCAGGTATGAGTACTATCCCTACTTTGGAGATAAGGAGACTAGGCCCAGAGTTAAAAGTAACTTCAAGGCCATAGAGCCAGTACGTGTGCTTTAAAACATGTACTAAACCTTACAGGCATACTGGAATGGAATATATAATATTTTTACTAAGTGTTTATTATGTGACTTACATTATACCAGGTGTTCTTGGGTGAGAGGAGTTGATAATGCAGTAAAATTAGATTAAAAGATGGAATGCTCTTGGATAAATACATTATTCTTATATATGACATCAATGTAAAAATCAGACACTGTTGTTCATGAATAAATCTAAAGTGACTGCAAATGTACACATTTTACAGGGTGTTTTACTAAGAAAGGACATGATATTTCGGCAGATAAAAGAGATTAACTAGAGTAGTCGTTCTCCAAGTGCAGTTCACAAACCCCCAGGACCGTGATGCCCTTTTAACAAGTCCATAAGGTCAAGACTAATTTAATATTTTAGTGTTACTATGAAAATAGTTATTTGCCCTTTTCACTGCATTAACATTTGTAATGAAGGTGTAAAAGCAAGGTGCCTTAGCCAAATCAAGGCAGTGTCACCAAACTTTACTAGCAGTCACTTGTCACCGCCATGCACTCACAATAAAAGACAAAGAAGAAGAAAAAAAAAGAGGCCAATGTCACGTAAGAATGTCCTTCATAAACCAATAAAAATTAAGTATATTAAATCTCAACCACTCAGTGACCATCTTTTCAATATTCTATGTGACAAAAAAGGAAGTAATAGACACATAAAACACTGCTCAAGTTGTCTTAAGAAAAGCAATTATGCATCTGAGAACTGAACTAGCTGTTTTTGTGGAACATTTTTACTTGGAAGAGGAACTATACATTTTTTTTCATGGAACATCATTGTTGCTTGAAATGACTACTATCAAACTATGTTTATTCAGACTTGAGTATCTGATGCACATTTTCTCAAAAATGAAGTGAGCCCGTCACTTCAAGAAAAACACTGACAGTATTTGTCATCAATGTTAAAATTCAAGACTTTCGAGTGAAAATTTAGATTCTGGAAATGTTGCATCCACCACGAGTTTGACAGCTTCCTAATACGTAATACTTCTCTGATGAGATCAGTGGTGATATTAAAGAATGTGATTTTTTATACTATGTGATGAAATGTGTCAAGATTTGGAAGACCTACATAACTCAGTGAACCAGTATTTTCCAATGCATGATGTTTTGAAATTATACATGAAGGTAAAAGATGTTTTCAGGGCTGGTTACACTGAGTGCCTTATGCTTGCTTTAATGTTCTGCTATTGCTGTCTTGAAATACTTAATAATTTTACAACTTGGAGACTTGCATTTTAATTTTGCACTGGAACCTGAAACAGCATAACCAAACCTGAATCTGTTCAAAGTACAAAGGAAGACCAATGAATTTTAACAGCAGCGTATGAAAAGTTCAAATTCCACATTGCAACCAATCTTTAAGAAACTACCACTTGTCAAGTTTTGGAATGTTCACAAATTTCCTTAAATATCAAAGATTATTCACAAATTTCTAAAAAGGCTACTAAAATACTCCTTTTCCCATGAGGACAAAGGGGAACCGTCTTGCAGTGTAGGTGGGAATGCAAACTGGTGCAGCCACTTTGGAAAACAGTATGGAGGTTCCTCAGAAAGTTAAAAATAGAACTACCTTATGATCCAGAACTTGCACTACTAGGTATTTACCCAAAGGATACAAAAATACAGATTCAAGGAAGTACATGCACTCTGACGTTTATAGCAGCATTATTAACAATAGCCAAACTATGGAGGGAGCCCAAATGTCCACTGACTGATGAATGGATAAAGAAGATGTGGTATATATATGCAATGGAATATCATTCATCCACAAAAAGAATGAAATCTTGCCATTTTCAATAATGTGGATGGAGCAAAAATGTATTACACTAAACAAAATAAGACAGTCACAGAAAGACAAACACCATATGATTTCACTCATATATGGAATTTAAGAAACAGATGATCACATGGGAAGGGAGAAAAACAGAGAAACCACAAGAGACTCTTGAATACAGAGAACAAACTGAGGGTTAATGGAGGGAAATGGGTGGGGGATTGGCTAGATGGAGGATGGGTATTAAGGAGGGCACTTGTGATGAGCACTGGGTGTTGTATGTAAGTGATGAATCAGTGAATTCTACTCCTGAAACCAATATTACACTGTATGTTTAACTAACTAAAATTAAAATAAAAATTTGAAAAGAGGGGTGCCTGGGTGGCTCAGTCGGTTGAGCATCCAACTTTTCATTTTGGCTCGGGTCATGATCCCAGGGTTATGGGATTAAATCCCACATGAGGCTCCATGCTGAGCATGGAGCCTGCTCAAGATTCTCTCTCTCCCCCTCTGCCCTTCACCCCCACTCACATGCTCTCTAAAATAAAAATAGGTTTTTTTGGCAAAAGAAAGAAAATACTCCTCTTCACAACTATGTATCTGTGTGACCAGATGTTTTCATACACTACAATCAAAACAACGAAGCTCAAGACATTAAAGATGAAAGCAGACATTAAAATCAAACTTTCCCCTATTAAGACAGATAATAAAGAGATCAGCAAAAATGTAAAATAATGTCACTATTCTAATTTCCAGAAAGTAGTTACTGTTCATAGAAATATGTTATTTATATCCACACAAATGGACTTACTGTTTTTTTAAACAAAATTTTCTTACATGCTGCAGTTTTAATTTCTAAGATAAATATCAGTAAACAAAAGCTCTCAAGTCCTTAACTGCTAAAAGCTCTAAAACCAAAATGCTGACAAGTACTCATTTAGAATGAGATACATGAAAAATACATTGAAAACAAAAGATTCCTACCGCATTTCAATCATCATGTCTTCAAGTAACTCTGATGAATCCCTGCTATAGATTCGGATGTAGAATTGACTAGGAGAGATGATATACTCCACAAAGACCCCCACAAGGGTACTGGTATCTAATGGTGGCAGTCTGCATAATTTCTTGTCCCGTACAGCATCTGGTGGGATATCATGGTTTGCAATTGCCAGGCTGAGCTGTGACTTATCAACTTCCACTTGCTACAAGTTAAAAAAAGAAATAAAAGAAATCTTTGGGTGAAATTTCAAACTCTATGACGACATTTCCCTAAGTATATTTCACGAGTCATCTTTATCAGAATCACCTGGGAAATTATAAAAACAAAGCTTCTTAGGCTTATTCCAGACTTACTAATTCAGAATACCTAGAAGTGGGACCCATAATTATGTATTAAAAAAATTCCCTAGAGGGGCGCCTGGGTGGCTCAGTCGGTTAAGCAGCCGACTTTGGCTCAGGTCACGATCTCGTGGTCCGTGAGTTCGAGCCCCGCGTCGGGCTCTGTGCTGACAGCTCAAAGCCTGGAGCCTGTTTCAGATTCTATGTCTCCCTCTCTCTGACCCTCCCCCATTCATGCTCTGTCTCTCTCTGTCTCAAAAATAAATAAACGTTAAAAAAAAAATTAAAAAAAAAAAATTCCCTAGAGGGTACTGGGTGGCTCAGTCAGTTGAGTGTCTGACCCCAGATTTCGGCCCAGGTCATATCTCATGGTTCATGACATTGAGTCTCATATTGAGCATGGAGCCTGCCTGAGATTTCTCTCTCTCTCCCTCTGTCCCTCTCCCCAGCTAGTGCTATCTCAAAACTTAAAAACACAAAATTCCCTATCATCAAAACAGTATGGTATTGGCACAAAAACAGACACTCAGATCAATGGAACAGAACAGGGAACCCAAAAATGGATCCACAAACATATGGCCAACTAATCTTTGACAAAGGAGAAAGAATATCCAATGGAATAAAGACAGTCTCTTCAGCAAGTGGTGCTGGGAAAACTGGACAGCGATATGCAGAAGAATGAACCTGGACCACTTTCTTACACCATGCACGAAAATAAACTCAAAATGGATGAAAGACCAAAATGTAAGGCAGGAAGCCATCAAAATCCTTGAGGAGAAAGCAGGCAAAAACCTCTTTGTTCTTGGCCACAGCAACTTCTTACTCAACACGTCTCCAGAGGCAAGGGAAACAAAAGCAATAAATGAACAATTGGGACCTCATCAAAATAAAAAGCTTCTGCACAGCGAAGGAAACAATCAGCAAAACTAAAAGGCAACCTACAGAACAGGAGAAGATACTTGCAAACAACACATCAGATAAAGGGTTAGTATCCAAAATCTATAAAGAACTTATCAAACTCAACACCCAAGAAAACAAATAATCAAGTGAAGAAATGGGCAGAAGACCTGAATAGACACTTCCCCAAAGAAGACATCCAGATGGCCAACTGACACATGAAAAAATGCTCCACATCACTCATCATCAGGGAAATACAAATCAAAACCACAATGAGACCTTACACCAGTCAGAATGGCTAACATTAACAACTCAGGCAACAACAGATGTTGGAGAAGTTGTGGAGAAAGGATCTCTTCTGCACTGCTGGTGCGAATACAAACTGGTGCAGCCACTCTGGAAAACAGTTTGGAGGTTCTTCAAAAAATTAAAACTAGAACTATCCTACGACCCAGCAATTGCCCTACTAGGTATTTATCCAAGGATACAGGTATGCTGTTTCAAAGGGACACATGCACCCCAATGTTTGTAGCAGCACTATCAACAATAGCCAAATTATGGAAAGAGCCCAAATGTCCACCGATGAATGAATGGA